CAAATTTGTTTTATCGATCTTGCCTACTGCTGCTTAAACTGCTTAGCTATTTTTTTGTTGAGACTGTATAGGAAAGGGAATGATTTGGTTGGTTGGTTACACTGATTGGATTCTTATTTGGCTAATACAATGGAGAAATTGGGTTGATGGTCTATGTATATATTTTTTATGTAGATGGATTTTTTTTTCTTGGTTTTTGCTGCTAAGATACACTCTATGATTGATTTCTAGTGCTTCGGAAAAGTTGTCGCATGTATTCACTTGTTTCACTACATTTTGATTATACACTCAAAGCTGTAACGCACATATTCACTTGTTTCACTACATTTCCATTGTACACTTTGCATAAATGCGTATGTGTCATTCTGTATATTTCTGATTGACTTTTGGTGAAAATTTGCCCTGCATAGGTATTAATTGCTTCTGGACCAAGCGATCCCAATGGCTTAACAGTTGAAGCTCCCTTAACTATTAATATTCCGAAAGGCCAGCCATCCAGAGCTCCTGAGAATTCACATTGTAATGTGTTTGCGCAAGGGACGAACATAACAGTTCCAGTTTCTGTACAGAAACCGTCACTGCCTTCTGTCGCAAGTGCTGAAGCATTGGATTCTAATGGAGCAGCTAATGCAAATTTGCCTCGAAGGAAAAGAAAAGCATGGACAGATGTTGAGGATCAGGAACTTATGGCTGCTGTGCGAAAGTTTGGTGAAGGAAATTGGGCAAATATCTTAAAAGGAGACTTTAAGAGTGATAGAACAGCCTCACAACTATCTCAGGTTCTTTATCTAATTTGCAAAGTTTCCTTGATGGTCCAAGTATGTTTTTATTTGTTTTAATCTTATGAGCCAGATATTCTTGGATGTAAGCATGGTGAAGGCTTATCTTCAATGATGCAAAAAATGTTCTTAAATCCTTACTAACAAAATGAAAGTTTTCTTGTTTGGGTTATATGACATAGTTAAGCTTGACTTTAAAAATTACGAGTAGCTTTAACTCGTTCAGAGGCAGAAGGACAAGTCTGCCTTAGTTCAGAAGAGAGTCAGTTAACTGCACTCCTTTGGGCATTTAAGAGAATTGATATTTCTGGATGTTACTGGGGAATTAACTTAAATACATGCACAGAGAAAAATCAGTAAGAGTGGCTGCTCTATTTAATAAAATTCCGAAAGAAGAATATCCTTCTGTATAAAGATTCATTGAATTTTCAGAAATCTGATGAAGCATGGTTTACATAGGATTTTCACGAGTTGTATCAGGAAGACAATCAAATTGGTGAAACTTTTCAGATGTTTTATTTATCATGTGTGTGAGAATTTTTGAGATACCGGATCTAGTATAATTTTCTGGAACCCTATCAGACTAGTTAGTTGTTTTGAGGGTTGGTGATAAAGATACACAGCTAGGTCTGTTTGCTGCCGTATATCTGTTCTTTCCGTTTTTCTTTTTTGTTTTCCTTTTTCATGTTTCCTGATAGGTGTTCCTTTTACCATATTGCTACATGATGGCTGGTCAGGGCTTCCAGGAATGTTGGGATTTGGCTTTAATATGAGATATTTTTAATTTGCATGGCAAACCTTTTAATAGACTGTTAGTGTAATTATACAAGACATAACTTGTAGGAAGCCTTCAGTAAGGTGACATTTTGTATTCTTTTGGAGTTTTACTCCTGTGGAGAATGAAAACTGTGGAAAGTAAGGTATAAGAAAATGAATAAACAGGTTAGAGGATTTTGCAAAATTTCTGATGCAAACATTGCTTTGTTTAGGTCAACTTTTTAGGAAATGATTTCAGTTCAGGATAATAAATTGAAGCTAGTAGGATACGTTTCAGCCCCCATGATGGAATCTACAGTTTTGTCTGAGCAGGTCATAGCAAACTTGATGATCAAGACGCATCAACAGTTGACTTGCATCATCTTCATTACATGGTTTCACTAAGATATTTTAGTGAAGGAATCCGTTGTTATCTAGTATGGTTAGGATGCCTGGATTTTGTCCAGGTCTCCCGGGTTCAATTCCCGGCAACGGAATAGGTATTTAGAAGTTTAACTGTGCGGATGGATATACACATTGCACTCGTATTACATAAATGCAGTTTGTGAATACTCGGTGAAGAGAAGACCTAGTCACATCGTCCAAACTTATGCAAATTAATAAAATGTGTCTGATCATGTAAACAACTTTTACTATTAGTTCTCTGCATTGTTACTGGTCTACATATTCAGTTAGTCTAATTTCTTGGTCATGAATATGTGCAGAGGTGGGCTATTATCAAGAAACGAAGGGTAATGACTCTAGGAACAGGCTCACAGCTTTCAGAGGTTCAGCTGGCTGCCCGTCGTGCTGTGTCACTGGCTCTTAATATGCCTATGGGGGATACCTTGAAATCATCTCCTTCGATTTCATCAGGTAGTTATATCTGTGTGTGCACGTGTGTGGAAAATTATGACAAAAGAAAATTTCTTGAACTTGATCCAAAGATAGTTTATGTTTTTTGTGCTTACATTCATGGTGAATAATGAGTATAGATTTGAGTAAAGTAGATGGGATGGAGACGGGGGTAAATCAAAGATGATATTGGTTTGTCAACTGTGAGTGGTATGTTTAATGGTCAATTTCAAACCAGTGCGTGAAGTTACACAAAAGCCTTTAGCTAATACTTGCTTCCCATAATTTGGGAAACAAGACACCTTTAGATCAAATGAGCTCTTCAACCTATTCTGCAAATGCTAAGGCTTTTCTATGATTTGGTTATAGAGTTGCTTTAACCTGCCAAAAATTAGACAGATACAATTAATGGTTCTTTGATATTTTAAAGCCTATCTCTTCCGTTTTTCTGTATCTTAACTCAAACGACATATATTCCATTGCACCTGACTTGTCAGTTGAGTGGCTGTTTGGGGATGACCGTTGTCAAGGTTCATTATGTGAATAATAGAGTAAGAGGAGGTGAAATGCCTGCTGACATATTTGTTTGATATTTGCAAAACTCTTTTAACACAAACAAAGAGCAAACCATTGGATGAGAAATGTGTTGAGCATCTTACATTTTCAGTTGCAAAGGTGCCCAACGGTTTGGAAGATGGTAGGAATAGCATTATGCTTTTCTTTTTTGAACTTTTTAATCAGTTAAATTCAACAGATCATCATCACAGTTACACCCAGTATGTCTTCATCAACTTTTGCAAAGCTTTCACTAGTTTCTGGTTGAAATTGGATGGCAGGGACGAATGCAAATGTTGCACACAGCAAACTTGGACCACCTCATTCTAATGAAACTCCATCCATTGTCGCACCATTGCAACATGATTCTGTGTCAACTGCAGGGCATCAAATTGGATCATCAAAATCTCGAGTTACAACCAAGAAACCTTCTACAAAATCTACTATTAGTTCGGATTCAATGGTTAAAGCGGCAGCAGTAGCTGCTGGAGCCCGAATTGCTACCCCTTCAGATGCTGCAACACTACTCAAGGCTGCACAATCTAAGAATGCTGTCCATATCATGCCCGGAGGTTCTGTGCTCAAATCGTCCATGGCAGGCAATGCAAATTCATTGCCCAGCAATGTGCACTTCATCCGCACTGGCCTGGCTTCAAAACCACTTTCCACTTACTCAACAGCTGCAGTAAGTTCCTCACAAAATGGTGGACTCAGCAAGTCCTAGGCACATCTTCAAAACCTGCAATACCTCTAAATCAACCCAACTCAGCTGGCACTGCTCAAGAATTAAGTGCACCGTCTGAAGTAAAAGTGTTGCCGTGCCTGGCCCTGTTTCAAGGCTCGAGTCAAAAATTGTTGAGGATTTTGGTACCTTTATGTGCAATTCTGAAAAAGACTTCTTAAAGAAAATCAAGCTGGTTTCAAATGTGACGGGTCCAATGAACAAATGAAAGGAGATCTGACTGCTGTTTCTGTTGATACTAAACCAAATCAAGTCCAAGAGGATCAGGGTGCTTCAGAGAATTTATGTAGTGATCAGGCTGAGGGAGGTCAAGCATCTGTTATGGGCGAAATATTGAAAGAGCATGCCAGTGGTGATGAGGTCTCTGCTTCAGCCAATGCTCTTAACAAAAAAGCAGGAGATCTGATTGATTCACAAAGCTCTAGTATGGCAGCTAGCAATGGTCATCTTGTCCAACTGACAACCAGGCCTCAACCACATTTGACAGCGTAAGTAAGGATGATGTGATGGGTATGCCAGTTAAATGCATCAGTGATAAACCCGTCAAGGAAATGTTTGAGAATAACATGGCAAAGAGAGAAGAGGGCTTAATCATGGATTTGGATGGAAATGATGGACAAGCAAATTTAAAGCAATGAGAAGCTTTTAGAATGGGGCGAAGTGAAAAATAGCTTGCTCGCCTGAATTAATTACTGTGGAATGACTGTTGGCCGATGTTATTATTCCTCTCTCCCCACCTTTCTGAATTGTATGTAATTTTGCAGGAAGCAGTTACTGTCAGGTTAGATAGAAAAGCTTGTGAATTCATGACTTCTGGTATCTTTTCATCTGTGAATAGTGGAGCCCTCTTTGATTAGTTTGTAAATAAGTTGAAGGCGTTCTGACATAAGTAGGGTATATTTCGTTTCATCAATTTCTTATATTGGAGGAAATGTTTGATCTCCCCTTTCCTCAGATCAAGCTTGGGCTTGACTCAGTTACTCTATGCCTCTTTTGACTTCTGCAGTTGTACCCTATTAATTTCGTTTTCACTTTTCAATTAGATGGTTCTGCTAGTGCTATTCTTCTACTTCTCTTGCGAGTTGGATTTCCCCGTAAGAAGTTATAACTGAAGAATATCTCAACAAGAAGGATTATGCTATCATATTAGCTATTCAGAAATGTTTTCTATAGCAAGTAACGGGTGATTGAGGTGGCCTTCCCGTGATTTTGTTTGTCCGGTATAACCATAGAATGCTAACAATCTATAATACTAATGTACACCATCAAATCCTAAAAGAAGGTGAAGCAACAACTCTATATCTGTACAGCTTTTAAGTCGCTATATGCTTCTGCAATGACGGACTAATGCAAGCAAAGAATGATGGCTTCTGTTTCTTTAACTTTACACCAAACAAGAAAGTCCTCAACGGAATTTTGGATCGAATCGGTGAGTTCCTAGGTTGTTGCTTTCTTGCGGCAACTCCAAACTCAGTATCCAGGTCTCTAAGTGTCCTTTCAATCTCAACCAGGATGACTTTGACACGTTCCAGACCCAAGTGCAGTTCACCAGCAAGCTTATTGTTCTCCTGTTTCATATTCAAAACCTCGCCCTGGAACTTGGCTGCTTGATAGTCACTCAGCTCAGTTTCTTCTGCACTTGACCCTGCATTTGACAAGATCTCTTCTTGTATGCCAGACAGCGAGGCTAACCTGTTATCCAAGTCATCTTTCAACATGTCATTTTGGTCCAACCATAGAGTTAGCTCAGTTTGTATTTCTGACAGGTGCCTGTAAATTGGACGAATTTCTGATACAAGTAATTGATGGTTTGTGCTTCCACTGTGCTTGTTGTTTGCCTTCACTTCTGCTAGCTCAGCTTGCAGATCCCGGACAGTTGTTTGGAATTTTTGTACTTGATGGAACGAGGTGCTAAACTTCATCCAGAATCCTATATTTTCCTCCAGCAATTCATCAATGTCTGTGCGAATTCTTTCTTCAACAACCGAAAGATTTTGAGTTTCATCTAGGTTAATAACCTTGATGGCTCCATTCTCTTCCACAAAGGAGATCTTTGGCTGCTCTTGTGGAGGCGATTCCACTCTAGTATCCATGGACTGAGGAGTTGGAGCACCTACCATATCTGCAAGAGTCTTCTGCTCTGTTAGTAAATTCTGTTCAGCTGAGACATGGTAGCTGGCTGAGGCTCTGCTTTCTATTGAATCAACAGCTGCATCTTTTTTTTTCCCAAGCAAGTTCAGTTTCTTCTCCAATGATTCAATCTTTGCATCTTTTGAGGCATTAGCACTCTTGAGGACTTTTATCTGTATGCAATACTGAAAAAGGCTAGCTCTCGCTTTTTCTTCTCCACTTCATTGAGCTTCTTTTTTGCTTCCTTGTAATTCCTAAGAATGGATGTATACTCCTGCAATAGAAGCTTCTCTCTGTCATCTAACCCACTCAAAAACAGCTCTTTCCAATTAGGCTGATCGTCATCCCCTACACCAAGTTCATCTTGGTTCCCGCTGAGATCATGTTGAAGTGGCTGGAACACCTGTTGCTGCTTTGCTTCCTGATCCTTGCCTGCAAGATAGTTGAAGGTTATTGCCTAGAAACAGACAGAACCAAAATGGTTCTATTCGATACGGTAAATGTACCTTGATCCGGAAAGCTGTACATCTTTTGGTCCTTTACAGTTGCCAATTCTGATGAGGTGGGTGAGATGTCAGGAGCTCTGTTATCTTCATTTGCAGCAAGCACCTTTAATGGACTGGTTTCTGAAATGCTTTTCACTTGACTATTCATTGGAAGATCATTAAGCTGGCTACTGAGTCTGGACTCTCCAGAATTTCTGCTGGCTTTTGCGGTATTCCAATAATCCTCCTCCATGTCCCTATTGTTATCAGAAGCACTCGGTGTCGAAAGATCACCACCTGTTTCTATCTTAAATGACCTGGGATGGTTCTTGGCAGCTGATTGGATGTTGTTATTGTTATCTGACTTATCTAGATTGGCATCCAGAAGATCTCCCACTCGATCTTTCAATGAGTAACCATCCATGCAATCATCCCTGTTGGAGAGAAAAAAGTCATCCGGCTGGATTCTACTTTCATGTGCCCTTCAATAGACAAAGACTGATAAGTAGCTGTACCACACCCTCTTCTGCTGACCTCCTTTCAGAACTGTCGCTATGAACATCTTTCATTGGACCTTTTATTGGTTTATCACAAAGGTGATCACCTTGGTTTGAATACATTATACCCTTTCCACATATGGAAGACCTGCTGTGCACCAGAGCATCCTTTTTCAGCACTTTTTCTTCCATTGTCACATTTTCTAGAGGCTTAATGTGATAGTCAGGTGGACTCACAGATTCATCTTGACTGCACTTTTTCTGTGAATTGGCACCTGGACTAGCTACTTTTTGTGCTGTGGGAAAATCATCACTGTTAGTTTGTTGATTTAATTGGAAAAAGCTTTCGTCTCTTGCCGTTTCAGAAGTGCTGGTATCCACAAGATTAAATTTCACTCTGTTCTTCATAATTGTTGAGCCATAATCAGGACCTATCCCATCTCTTGCTTCTCCAAACACCACTCTTCTGAATTCACATCAAGAGAAGCTCCAGATAGGGAAGTAAATTGGTTTTGGCTTTGTTGGACAGCAGACAACTGTTTGATTCAGCACTTGTGGAGTTGCTGTCACCCTTGATACCATCACTCTCTACCTTACATTGCAGAACCACAGAGCTGCAGGAAGGAATTTCTTGAACTTCTAATCCTGCACTGGCATCTGTAGTGGATTTCACTTCTCTATATGGCAGGATACAGTCACGGTGGTTGCTTGAGCTGGATTGCACAGGACAGTTTATCTCCTTGATTTTGCATCTATTTTGCTCCGGTTTGCTGGCTTGCTTCTCTGCTTGAATGTTCACAACATGAAAATTTCTTCAGCATTCTGTGCGTGTTTCTTATTACGAAGAATATCTTTGCTGGATTGACACCTGGAACATGGGTATCTTTGCTGAATAAAGTTAACTTCTCTGTCTCCTCATCTAGCTTCACATGCAGCAATTTTTCAGAAAGATCATCGAGATTACAACTTGCTTCAACACAATGATCTTGGAGGCGGTTGTTTTTTTTGAATGCACTTGTTGAGTCTTTGTACTCTCTGCAATTCTTCTTCAAGATCTCTTATCTTCCGATTCATGCCGTCTGAACCTTCAATCAGAGTGTCTTTCTCCTCTTCCAAACTTCTAAGGTGTGTCTGGAGCTCATTTGTCTCTGACGTTAATCTCTTTACATAAGCAGTCTGAGAAAATACAGCACTTTCCAAATTTATAATCTGATCCACGAGTTCATCAACTTTCTCTGCAAGTTCTGACATGGTCAGAGGACTTGCTAAGTTTAGCTGCAACTCTTCCTTTATTCTTTTCTGCAGTGGTTCAACGTCATGAATAATGTTCTGTTCAGCATTGTCTACTTCTTTATCTTGCTTATACTCCAACGTTGTGGCTCGTTCTGCTTTCTTCTTCCAAGTACACTTCCTGATGCCTGATTGCTGTTAAATTTCTCTTTTAGCCTCTTGAATTTCTCTCGGGTTTCTTGAAGTTTTCGGTTCTCCCCTCGGGCCTCTTCAGCTGATTTTTCTTGTTTTTCTTGTAATTGGGTTAAGGCCTGTTGGCATGACTTCAGGGCTGTGGCAGTCATCAAGGTTCGAGCTTCATTATCATCGATAACCTTGCAAATCCCAAACTCATCCTGTAAGTTGCTGACCTCTGTTTGCATTCCACTTATCTGGTTTTCAATGTTCCAATATTTTTCTAGCCCAGACTCGTATGAGCTTTTCACGAACTCCTTTTCAGTTTGAGGGCCAAAATTTCCTTTTGAATCTTGTCAATTTTTTGAAATGCCTCAGATTTGTTCAATCCTGATATCGGACCGGCAGCTGCTGAATCATCAGCATTAGTCTTCAGCAACCCCTTCCTTGACATTAGTCTAGTTGGCATCTTGCCATTTCTCTTTCTAACACTACTATTTTTTGCTATACTTATCTCAGGGGCAGGAGGTGGATGCTTGGAGTTGGAGAGGATGTTGAATTTATCAAGAGGCATCGCTGCCACAGGCAAGTTTTGTCCATCAAAATCATCGTCATCCATCGGTAAATCAACAGTTTCAGGGAAGACAGAGGCAATGGTTTTATTGGCATTCTGCAGCTCTCTTGACAAATGATCATATCTCTCAGCCAAAGCTCTGTATCTCCTGACCGAATCTTCAACAAAGTTTACGAGCTCTGGTCTCTTCCTATAGTACATTTCAGCCCGCTGTTTAAACGTGTCAGCTTCCTCTTCAATGATTTTAAGTACGTACTCCACTTTTTCTTCCATATCTGCAAACAAGTAGTTTGAGAATTAAAGGCCCTTCAATAGTAGAAAGAATCCGTTCAACCTTTAATTGATCATTCAGAAAAAGGCACTGTGCAAAAGTTAAATTAACCATCTTTGAGCAGGTGTACATATTAGATTACGAAATGTGCTGATTCCTTCTGCTATTATGCAAATTTAGTGAGCGTAAATGAATTGGTTGGAGACCTTTCCGAAATAGTTTAATTGAATAACTTTACAGCAATCCAAGTACCCTGTGAGAGTAGGTGCTAGTTTACAACACCTAAACCATCTTTATACACCTGTTAATCCTAAAATTTGACTGTTTCAAAGGTACCATACAGCACAGTGTCAATGGTTAATCACTATTCGGAATCTTTATTCATAATTGTTTTAATTAATCAAGAAAAGGACACCCATTGTCTAATTCACAATGATCTTACAGACATAATTCCTTCAAGTGCTAATAGGCAAGTTGAACCGAAGGGGTTTAACATAACCTTGGTGTTTTCCTCCTTGTGAACCATGCTAATAGGCAAAAATAAAGACTGTTTCATGTGCTAAAATGGACGACTCTATGCTGCCGTTCATGCAAATTTAGGAAAACCCTTACTTCTAAGCAAAAGCCTGGTTAGCATGTATAGAAATACGAACAGAAAAATGTTCACACAATTAAGAAAGTTGAAAAAGTTCACCTTGTAGGTTTTGGTCCAGCCATTTTGACTGCTTCGTTCTAACATGGCTAGCCCACCACCATGAATATGCATTCCTAGCTGCTCTATGCAACATTCTTCTTCTCTCTCCCTATGACTCTTCACCCTTCGAAATCCCTCTGATACATGCATTGACTCTGCTGTCTCACCTAAAATATAGCAAGAGAAAATCGACCCATCACTGTTTAGGAGGAAATATAATCAATACAAAATGGGAAAAAACTAGTAATGAGACAATCTTGGGCTTCTGGGGGAATGATATGGCTTGATTTGGCCAGAAATGGAGGGGAGCATCCTTCGTCAAAATAAGCGGAAAGCACAAATGTAGGAATCCATCAGCTAATTTGTTGTCACATTTGGCATGTCCTAGAATGGAATATGAGGCGTGCATGTTTTTTCAGCCATTGACTTTTTTCCTTTTCCTTTTTCTTTCTTGAGTAAATTACACCTCTGATGCTTCTTCATCTTTAATACTATTAAGTTTTATTTCAGACCGTGGTTCAAAATCGCAGTCGTGGTCGTGGCCTGAACTGTTTTACATTGGTTTCGGCATATCGGTCACGGCCTTGACGAGATGCAAATTTTGAAGTATTTAATATTTTAAAATTTGTGAATAATATTCAAAAATATGCTAAACAAAAATAATTTAAATATTAGCAAAAGAAAATCTATAAAATATAAATTTATGAATTGACACGGACCAACTCGATCGAGACTATTCGTATCGGAGACTTCTCGGCCGAGTTTTCGGTGACTCAACCGAGTTCTCAACGAATCAAGTATTTCAGAGTCATCTCGTTCCGGTATCGTATCAGAGAAATCTGTTCCGATGACGACTTGGCCGAGTCGTCTTGATCTAAGCTGAGACTTTGAACCATGTTTTGGACCCTCCTCATCTACTTTCAGTCTGGGTAAAGTTGTGCTCAGATTTGGTATAATTGGTCCGTCGGATCAAAGGCCACCAAAGTAACTGCATTCGGAAACTAAGGGACCAATTTGACAGACACAGGTAAATCCATTAGCTATTTAAAATGACAATTTCGTCCCTCACGTTCTATATGTGTATCAGATTGATGGTTCCACAAGAAGCCAATGCTTTTCACTGTTTGTATCGGATTAACTGCTCTATTTCTGGGTCGATCACTGTGAGAGAGGAGTAAACTTGTAACTGGATCTGTTGAATCTTGCAAGACTATTGCACAACAGGTTTTCTTTAGCCCAAAATTCTCTATCATGAGGAACCATACCGCAGCAAATCTGAAGTTTTATCAGGAGAGCTGCATCAATAATTCACCACGAAAATGAAGAATGGTACAGGGGATTTGTTGCAGTGCTTAAAGCCATCACCAAGGTACAAAACTACAGTGCTATCTCGCAGAAAAAACAACAGTAGCAAATGAAAAAATAGCTACATTTTGCAATAATGATACCAAGAACGCTACAATTATTTACAGGAATTTGTTTATTCAAACTGCAACCTGACATATATACATATGTACAAAAGATCACTGGTCCAGCCATCCGACTTGCCAAACTTATGTATAAAACTATTTACATCAAAGAATGACACAAGCAAAGCTTTCTTATTTCTTCCCTCCCCTTCAAAACAAGTCTGTGTCTGAAAAATAATCTCAGGCGTTTTAGAAACAAATATAAAGTTCCTTGCCAATTCCTGGACCTGGAAGTGCACAAGCGTATCACCTCCTAGACAGAAAGAGTCAATTTCTGTTTCTCTTCCTTCTTTGTCCCCCTTCTTTTTTTGCTTTCCTCAGCAACCAGCATCCCCCAAATAAGGAAACATCATCATCCCCCTATTTTCCGTTTCCTTTTGTCCTAGGTCAGAATAAGTTCAACCCTCCTCCCCTACTACCAATGTGAATAAAGTACCAAATCACCAAACTTAATTGTACTATAATTTACAGCTTTTTACTATTTTTTTTCTCTATTTTCCAGTTTTTCTCAGTACTAGTATGTTTAGGCTAATACCCATTATAAGTTAATCCACTGGGACAGAAGTGCAGCATAACATATGGAGATTCACACGAGGGCATGTTTATGTCAATTGTTCTGTAGAGAAGAAAGCCACTGCTCCATATAATTCTTGCTTTCTGCATATCAGAACAACAGAAAAAATTCAAAATTAGGATAATTCCATCTCGGGGTAAATGATGCAGAAAATTTATTCAACTTTGTCAAGCACAGATTAGGGCTGTACTTCTAGGGAGGAAAACATTTTGACAAAACAAATGATCTTTTGTGGAAATACAGGCAAATCACAGACACGTGGTTTCCCCTCATATCATGCAGTAGTGTGTGCCTTCATGACCTGTATCAAACCAACGAACAGCATTCATAACAAGAATGACTTAATTCATTCATTTTGTGCTCAGATCAATGCACAAAATAACCTTATACTATTGGGCTTTGCTACATAAATCCTTCATCATGAATTCTTACTATTGGGCTTTGCAACATAAATCCTTCATCACCAGTTCTGACATGTCATTTTCAGATGACTCGTACAGATTAAGTTACTATATTCAAGTCTAGCATTCATCCCAATTTCAACACTCAATTTTGTTGGTAAAGTAAGTAGATTTGCACTTCTAGACTAGTAGTAAGCATAAGCTTATAATTTATTCACACCAATAAGATTGCCATTTCTACTACGTTCTTTTCAGAAGAAAGCAGTCTTGAATTGGTACCATTTGGTTTCCAAATCCCACACTGTTCTAGAGCTACAAAATACTTTATAGTTAGGAGTTGACCAGATTAATGAGGCCTAAAATGCTAATTGAAACTTAAGGAACCTTAAGTGACAACATTGCAACTTAAGCAAGCCAAAAGGAAATCATATATCATTGTACACCATTGTCAATGTCATCACTTCACATGGTCATCAAACATTTTGCAATTCCAAGAATGCAATAATTGATGTGGTTACTTGATATGGTAGTTAACTATTTGTGCAACTGAAGAAATGTGGTTATCTATTTAGATCTGTAACGACTAACTTGAAGTATTCAGAGGAAAAAAAAAAGGATCATCTTTGCATCTAATCATACTAATTGAGCTCCTAAAACCCCTAAACAAAATAAATGAAAAGAGATACAAACAAGTAAATCTGCTTGGCTAAGTTTCAATGTTGCTACTGTCCTCTCAACTTTACATTAAACACCAGTAAAAGTGAAAAGTTTCTCATGTTGTCAATTGTCCTTGAAAGATCACCGGGGTAGTGAAGGAAGGAGACAAATTGCAAGTAGTGTAGGATGCCTAGGAAATAAGAGCAGAAAGAGATTATAATTGCAAAAGATCTTATCCATTTGACAGACTACGAAATAATGCAGCAAACTGTTTGTAACAGAAAAAATTCTTCTGAGTACTAAAATAACAAGTCAACTCCTATTTACATCATACCATTCAGAGCTACAGGAGTATGAAAGCAAATAATTTCATGCACCTGGATTTTTTTCTATGAAAAGTTTTTATACCGTAATTAGATAGACAAAGATTAAAGACAATAATAATAGCAACTGCCTTTCAAAACTTTCCATGCAACCACATTTTATGCGTTCATAGGCTATCATGGAGTTCTATGCAGCGAGTATTCAATCATATAAACTTTCCACAAAACACCCTGGAATACTTCATTTAGCTCTTGATACATCTCGCTTGAAATCATGGGCAATCCAACTAACTCCATACAGTGCAACTTTAATAGCACATTCATTCCCCTGGATCATATAACTAATGACTTTCCAGAGCCAATCACATTATTCACCACCACAACTTTGTGAGTAAAGGTCCAAAATCAAGTTGTACACTAGTATGTTATCCTGCGTCCAAGAGAGGGACGATATGTAATGTTCAACTTTCAATTGAACTATGAGGCAAAAACTTCTCTAAGAAATTTACGGTGTTGTTAGACAATAACAATTTCAAGAGACCAAATTCACCAGAAACTGCTCCTTACCTGTAGCATACAGATCAGGGATGTTTCCAATGGTGTCCAAAATCTTGTCCTTCACATTCTCTTCCAGTTCTCCCCGGCCACGTCCATAACAAGGAACCAGCACAGCAAAACTATCATCTGAATCATCATCGGTTCGGAAGGCAGGGCCATGGGGCTCCAGCCATCCGATTGACCAATCTGAATCATCAGAATCAGACCCTGAAAGGCATCCACCATCTGATGGGACAAGAACAACATCATACTCCTTGTCAATCTTCCTCGCCTCCCGACTATGCCATTTTCTCTTAACTCGTCTAGGAGAAGGTCCCAAACCTCCCCTGTGAACCAGAGGAAACTTTACAGTATCCGCTTCCCACAATCCGGGATCAGGTGAAGGATTCACAGAAGTTCCATTGGGGACTTTGGGGTCCTCATGTTCATGCTGCTTTCCACTCCACAACCACCATGACACATTTGTAAATGCTATAGCCATGGCTACCCTGAATCCAAGAACCCTCCTACACCAACCAGGTCTTAAAGTCCAGACTGATCAATTGAGAAGAGAAAATCCAGGTGGATACAATGTACTTTTATTGTCAAAGAATCTGGACAGCGAGGCAGAATATTCAAAGTATTGTTTATCCCTGTAGCAATAAAAATTACAGTTACATTAAAGAATTGACACCAACAACCTTCGAAGAAACAACCAAGACAAAATTACAACAACGTAAAACAGATGCATCAGCTAAAGATCAATTAAAATGTGAAGAAGACCGTAGATCATAAGAGTTGATTCGTTTAGTTTAAACCTAAATCAGGGCCATCAATTTCCACGAAGGTACATATTACTTTTTTACACTTTTCCTCTATTTCGAAAATATCCTCCACCAATCCAGATAAGTCATCACACATTCAACAGCAACAAAAGTAAAAACGTGACAGCTAAAAACATTCCCATATACGGGTCAAGAGATAAACAACCAAATTTGACCCAGAAAATTCAGGGTATTAATAACTTTATTGCGTAGCAGACAAGATTCGAAAACTGCTAAAAGAAAGACAAATTCATTTTTTACACGTCCTCGTCAAAAACTACTTACTAAAAACCATGAAAAAGCCATACGAAGCGGCCATGAAGTATCTTTCCCGAATTGAGCACATTAATCTTTCTCGCCTTAAAATCACATCCCTTAAATTTTTTAAGCACCCTGAACTCACAATTTCGCTATAAATGGGTAAAAATCCAATATTTTATCAATAAATAATGCATTAAACCAAGCAAAAA